TACAGTGGTGGTCTGGCTTCTTCTGCTGAAGTTAGGATTTTGGTGGTCTTGTCTTTCCAGTTCCCTTAGGTGATTTGTTAGGCTGTTGACTTGTGATCTTTCTACTTGGTTAATGTGTGTGTTCATAGAGATATAAATTTCCCTCTTAGTACTGTTTTCATGGCATCCCAGAGGTTTTGGTAAGATGTGTCTTTGTTTTCATTTGTTTCCAAGAATATTTTGATTTCTATTTTGATTTCTGTGTTGACCTAGGAGTTGTTCAGCATTTTGCTGTTTAGTGTTTATGTATTTGTGGATATGGGGGGTATCTTTTTGGTGTTGACATTTATTTTTATTCCACTGTGTTCTGAGAAGGCGCATGGTAATATTTTGATCTTATGGAATTTGTTTATGCTCAACTTATGGCTGAGGATGTGTTCAATCTTGGAGTATGTTCCATGTGGTGATGAGTAGAATGTATATTCCGTGGTTGTTGGTTAGAGTGTTCTGTAGGTATCTATTAAGTCTATTTGGTCAAGCATCAAGTTAAAGTTCTGGATCTCTTCATTGTTTGTTTTTTTGTTTTTGCCTTGATGATCTATCTATGGTTATTAGTGTGGTATTTAAGTCCTCAGTTATGATAGTGTTAGAGTCAATACCCTTTTTTAGTTTACTTAGTTACTTTATAAATCCACATTTCCCTGTGCTGGGTACATATATATTTAGGATGGATATCTCTTGTTGATGGATTGAACCTTTTGTCATTATGTAATGTCCTTCCTTATCTTTTATAATTTTTGATAGCTTGAAGGTTGTTTGGTCTGTTATTAAAATTGTGACTCCTGCCCTCTTTTGTTTTCTATTTACCTGAACATTTGTTTTCCATCCTTTAACTTTGAGTCTTTGGGTGTCCTTTGTAGTGGGATGTTTCCTGGAGGCAGCATATTGTTGGGTCCTATTTTTTTGTGTTTGTTTTTAATCCAGTTTGCCATTCTGTGTCTTTTCGGTGATGTATTTAATCCATTGACATTCAGGCTAATTATTGAAATGTAAGAGTTTATCCTTGTCATGAGGCTCTTATGAGGCTGTTTTCTTTTCTTTTAACTTTTAGGTTGGTGTGTGTGTGTGTTTTCAATTTTGCAGTTGTGACATGTGCTGTGTGATTTTATGTTTTCTTCCATTCTTGGGATGCACATGGTTGTTCTTTCCTCTTCCTCCCCCTCCTCCCCTCCTCCTCCCCCCTCCTCTTTTTACCTTCTAGGGCATCTCCTGTAGACCTGGTCTGGAAGCAGTGTAATCTTTTAGGGACTGGATGTCTGGGAAGGATTCTAATTCTCCATTGCTGATGAAGCTGAGTTTGACTGGGTAGGATATTCTTGGTTGAAATTTTTATCTTTGAGGACTTTGAAAATTGGACTCCAGTCCCTTTTAGCTTATAGCGTTTCTGCTGACAAATCTGCTGCTATTCTGATTAGTTTTTCCCAGTTAGGTAGTCCAGCCTTTCTCTCTTGCTGCCTTTAGAATTTTTTCTTTTATACTTTGTATAGATGAATGATTCCTTATCTAGGGATTGGTCTTTTCATTTGATGTCTTGTGGGTGGGTTCTCTGAATCTCTTGTGTTTAGATGGGGAAAGTTTTCTTCGATAACCTTCTGGAATACTTGCTTCCAAGGTGTTCTTTGTTTCCCTTTCTTCTTCTGGGATACCAACCAGGTGTAAGTTTGGGCTTTCTTTTTAAGTTTTCTTTCTATGTTTTTAACAGAGTGGGCTAATTCCATGTTTTGGTCTTCAAGCTCTGAGATTCTTCTGCTTAGTTGATTCTGCTTGCCATGCTTGTCATCTTATTATTTATTTCCTGGATGAAGTTTTTATGGCCTAAATCTCTGTTACAACTTCTTTCAATATTGCATCTGCTCTTTCTTGAGTCTTATTCACACTTTCCATCCATTTCTTAATCCCTGTTCCCATTGTTTGGGTTCTGAGGTCCAATTTTTCGGGTGTTGCTTCTTTGGTACTCTGGGAATTACCTGTGTTCTTCCACTGATTTTTTCCTCATTTGTGACAGAACTCTTTCTTTTCTCTTTAATTCCATTATTCACTGGTAGTGGGTGGGACTTTTACTTCTGTTGTTTTTTCAGCCCTCTAATCTGCCCTGATCAGAGCCTCTGAATTTGTTCTGTTTTGAAACAGGGATGGATGTGGGAAGCTTTACTGTTTCTTATAGTTTTGAGAGTTGAATAAGGTGGAGGGTGGGGAGCTAGGATTCAGAAACTACTTGCAAGTTACAATGTTACTGAGCATGGTATGGGCCTCCTGAGACCCATTCCCCATCATGACTCTATATGATGATGCAGTGGGTATGTGTGTGTACCCCCTGAGTCCAAGATAAGGTAACAGTCACGCGGAGAACAAAAAAAAGTAGAATGAAATAGAACAGACCAAAATAATAAAAAATTAAATTGATCACAGAAAAACAAAAGCAAAAACAAGATCAAAAACCAAAAAAAGACAAAAAGAAACTAAAAACCAAAACAAACCAGAATAGAAAACACACAAAAAAAGCAAAAAACAGGAAAACCTAAACACACACACACACACACACACACACCAAAAAATGAAAGAGGAGGAAGAAGAAGAAAAAAGGGAGAGAATGCAAATTGAACCCTCACACACACATTCACACACAACACCAAACGGAAACAAAAGAACAACAACAGAAAAAAACGGGGAAATGCAAATCAAACCTTCACATACACATTCACAACACACACACACACACACACACACACACACACACACACACCCAAAACCAAAGAACAACAACAACAAAAAGAATTTGAAAAGAATTTCTGGGCACCAACTACCCTCCTGTGGCAGGTTCTGAAAGTATTCCTCGCAGCTGCTCACAGGTAAGCCATCTCCTATAGGGCTGTAGGCTCCTTCACAGTCTCCCTGGTGCATGGCCTGGGGGAAGGAAGGGGCAGTGGGGTAGGTAGAGCATCAGTCTTTCCCTCCTGCTTTTGCAAAGTCAGGGGGATCCCCTCCAGCGAGGAGGTGTGAGAGTGTCTCCTTCCCAGGTGCTAGCGGCAGTTGCCCCAGCCAGGCTTATCCTGGAGCAGAGCCCTCCTGTCATGGCCGACATTCAGGCACCACCTGGGCTTGCCCCTCTCCGCCATGCCCTGGCCGTGTGGGTCTGACATTCAGAAGACTGCTGTGGAGGAGGGGGCTGTGTCAGCCCAGGACTCACTGCTGATCTCTGGAGGGTCTCCTGCAGCCTTTTCTGATTGCACTCTCTGTCCCGTGGCTGGATCTGGGTGGGGGTGGGAGGCCCGAGACACCCCGCTCATCCTGTCCCTCCGAAGTGTGTGCCTTCAGGATGTTCCCCCTGGGTCACTATCAACCCCACGCAGCTGACCCTGCCGGTCATGGTCACAGAGAGCAGATCTGTTGTTCCAAGGTGAGCAAGCTGGAGCCCTTCCCTGACCAGTTTTCCGGATGGTGGCTGGGTACCTGTTTCGTCCTCTCCAGGGGAACTCTGCCTCCGGCTTCCTCACAGTGCTTCCTCCACAGCCCTGGCTGCCAGTATCTGGCCTGGTGCTGAGGTGGTTGGGCAGTCTGGCAATGGCTGTCACCCACGACAGCTTCTCCCCGGGCAGAGCTTTGTTGACTTTTAGAAAATGGTGCTCAGTTTCTATGCTCCGGGAGGCACGAGGGTCTGCGCAGAGCAGCCGCTGGTGCCAGCCGCTTCAGCAGGAGCGCCTTGGCCGCTTGCTTCCAAGTCCCCACTCAGTCAGCCACTCACATGCCCACGTAGACACAAACACACGTGCAAATTTGTCCACACATTCACTTACTCACACAGTCCGGCTGGCGCTGCCACCATCTTTTCTCGCCACCCCTCAGCACAACTTTCAAGAGCCTCGATGTGACTGAGCGAAGAATAGGATTTTGAGCGGCTGCTTTGGAATCAGAAGCCTGGCAGAGCCCATGTGTGTGAGCCAACAGTTTGAGCTTTCCCCGCTGCGTCCACTCTCCTGCATTCAACATGTGAGCTTAACACGTGTGCAGTATTGCGATGCTTTTTGCAGTTTACCTGCCAGATTGAAATTAAACCTCAAAAGTGCAACAGATAGGAAATCTCCATGGTGAAGGTCCAGGGCCAGCCTCAAGAGCATCCCAGCAAGGGCTTGTGAGGGTTCATGGCTGCCCTCCTTCTGGAAGCCTCAAGGTACAGGTCAAGAGCTAGGACCCCCACAAGACTTCTGTTTAGACTCAGTGTACAAGGCTCTTCCTGGGGCTCCCCTGGTTCACTGCAGTAAGACTGATCATCTTTTACTCGCCCCTGTCTTGCCCACACTTGTCAGTTGCAATTTATGGCCTATTGTGCCAGGCATGAATTTGTTTTACTTGGACTAACATTTAAGTATTTGAAGATAGGTTTAAAATATCAAATGCAAGTTTTTATTTTGTTTTTAAAAAAACCAAAGGAAAATGAAAACAAAGGCAATGCACCTAAACCTTCTTGAAAATACAGGGTTAGCTGAGGAAAGGGAAATTGTATTAATTTCCTCCACTCAACCCACAGATTTTCACTTTCTCAGCAGTGAGCTCAGAAAGGCAGAAGTAATTCTTTGGCAAAAAGTAGCCTTTGTTTAAAATGTGTATATTATTTGCCTCTGTGTACATAAACTATCAGTTAGCCGGAGCTTTTTACACATTTACCTGTATGAATTTTGTATACTGTTAAATAAAACATTTGAAACAGTCACAGAATTCAGGCTGAGGTATTTTGCTTTGGTTAAGACTGAACAAATATGGTATGGGTATTTTAAGGATATTGTCACTCACATGAAGCCTGTGCTGTAAGGGACATCTGCTAACAGTTCTTTATGTCACCAGAAACATTATAGCAAAGTATCGAGTTGCGGCAACTCATTTTCGCTTCAGCTCAAGCACCAAAACACCGAGAAAGTGACAGAACCCATATGCCCAAGCTTACCCTTTGCTTTCTTGATTCACAGCCTGCGATATGAATGTTCACAAGCAGTGTGTGATAAATGTCCCCAGCCTCTGTGGGATGGATCACACAGAGAAGAGGGGGCGGATTTACCTGAAGGCCGAGGTCGCTGATGAAAAGCTGCATGTCACAGGTAAGGCCTGCTTGTCTGGGGCAGCATGCAGCAGGAGATCGGCTGAAAGGTCAAGCGGATGCTGAGGTGGGTGGGGCTTGCTGGGTGCCCAGGGCCTCTCGAAACGTTCGCCCCGGTGGAACTACCTCCGTTTCTGAGCCCTGCAGGTTTGCATTTACTGACCTCGCAGGAGGCTGGCCTGTATACCGGAATTCCCAAATACCCAATGCCATGCGAAGTCACAGCTGCCATGTGGACTGGGCTATTCTGACAGCATGGCCCAGTATTCTTCTCCCAGTGACAAGGGGTAGGGAAACCAGTTAATAAAAAAGCTATTGGAGAGAAGAAGTCAGGCAGGGCGAGGCGGATGGATGGATGATCCAAGCATTTAATGGCGTCGGGCTGTGAGGGCCCGATAAATCCAGCTCCGTGGTGGCAGTAGCCGCTGAGTGCCCATGCTCTGTGTTGGGTTCAGTGCTGAGAAGTTCGTATGGACTGGCCGATTATTAGCCTCGCTTTGTAGAAGAGGAGACTGAGGCACAGAGAGGTGGGTCACTTGAGGTGTCACAGTTAGTATATGAGTAGCCAGAACTGGGACCAAGGCATTTGACTCCAGTGCTTGAATGATCACAACTCCTATAAACAGCCCAAGCAAGGAACTAGAATTCCCTACCCGTGGCCTGGGATGTTCCTTCCTCGGGACTGTGTCTGGGAGGGCTCTGCTGTAGCACAGCTTTTCCTTTTGTTTTCCCACTGAATCCACTTTAGGTCAGTCAGCTTGCTCACTCAGGTTATCTTGGAGTCTTGCTGGCCCAGGACTCATCCCATGTCCTCAAGAGGACTTGGCTTCCCTGTGCCCCAACCCACTCTGTGTTGATTTATGGTTCAGCTCTCAGACATCATCAGCCTTGCTTTCCAGCTCTTGGGGCTTCCTCCAGGCCACCATATGCAGTACTCTTTCTTTGACACAGGCATTCATTTCATTTGATCAGCAAAGGTATTATGCTTCCCTTTGTTTTAGAAATTTGAAGCTATTATAAACACGGGAAGACTGTAATGTCATTTATTTGTAGAGAACAGAATCTATCATAGAAGAAAGACTGGGAGGATCTGTTTAAAAAGCAGGGGGAAGAGTTCCAGAGAAAGCTTACTTTTGGAAAAATATCCATGTTTTCCTTTGAAAAATAAGCAAATGTTCTATCCAATGCCATCCTTTCAGGGAAACATTTAGGGAAATCCAAGAAAAGAATTCTGAAGTCTTGGTAGGAGAGGGGTGACACAGTTTACCTCCAGATAACCTTGAGAAAAACCAGCTCTGGCTGGTGGTCAAGCCAGAATTGGGCATGAAATCTTCATCACAGACACAGAATCCCTTTCGACTTTTTTGTGTTTTGGAGAAGTTCCTTTGTTTTTCTAAAGCCATCCCTGTTGCATTTTTGTCCTTGGGGCTGTGGCTCTCACCTGCATTTTCCTTTAGAATCCCCTCCGCCCTCGTCCCCAGTGACTGCCGGGGCTCTTTTGACCGGACACCTGGGCTTTCTGCCCCAAGGCCTGGATTCCATGGGAGCCCTGAGCTTGGCCACACGCGCGTCTGCGTGTCTGAGCCTCACTCTTTTCTACGGAGGCTCTGGCGTTGCCAAAACCATGTGGGGTGAGAGCAGGCAGTTTAGGAGAAAATTGCCACGAAACCAGTCTCAGTGGGTGGGAAAGGGTTGGGGAGCACAAAGTAGAATGCCTATTAGCTCAATGTTTCTGTGCTTTTCCTTTATTTCCAAAGTTATCACTTTGGGCAACAGAATAGACATCACAGGTGAATAGTCAGAGCTTAATTACAAGGTTTACATGTGGCATCTGTTGGCTTGCTGTAAGGTAGGAAAGCCAGGACAGAGCTTTTCAACATTTAGCTGGCATTCATTGTGTTTCCAGATAAAGCAGAACACGCCCCCCGTGGTTGCTAGACAGGCCCCGTGCCTTCTCCTGTGATAAAAACAGCAGGCATGGGGTTCTGCCTGAGCCTTCCAGACTCTTCCACACTGCATCTTGCAGATGCACAACTGCATAGAGTAGCACACTGACCAGGTGGCAGTTGGAGCACAGTGGGGCAAGAAAGGGCAGGACCTGTCATGCTAGAGCACACATCATGCTTATTGTCCCGCCTCTACTGGTTGATTTGACTCACAATTGTAGACTTATCTTAAGAGACAGTACCTTTCACTGAGTTGGGCATGGACTTTTCATGCATGAAAGCCAACAAGGGCTGGGCATGGTGGCTCAAGCCTGTCATTCCAGCACTTTGGGAGGCCAAGGTGAGGGAATGGTCTGAGCCCACAGGTTTGAGAGCAGCCTGGGCAACTTGATGAGACCTCATCTCTCCAATAAATAAAAAAATTTGCCGGGTGTGGTAGCGCACTCCTATAGTGGAAGACTGAGGTGGAAGGATCACCTGAACCCAGCAGGTGGACTCTGGGATGGCTGTGAGCATGCCATTGCACTCCAGCCTGGGCAACGGAGTGAGACTCCAACTCTAAAAAAAAAAAGAAGTCAACCAATATTACTTACAGCAACTATCTGGGTCTAGTCTTCTGAGAGCTTAAAAATTTTTGTATAGATATAGCTCTACCCTAGCAATGTGAATTCAGCAACAGTTGAATACTAACGTCCATTCAGGCTGCCATCACGAAACGCCGTAGGTTTGGTAATTTACAAACGATAGGAATTTATTTCTCGCTGTTTTGGAGGCTGGAAGTTTAAGATCAAGGTCCCAGGGGATTCGTTCTGGTGAAGACTTGTCTTTACGGGCGGCTCCTTTGGTGTGTCCTTGCCTGGCAGAAGGGGGGAAAGAGCAGGCCTGGCCCCTGGGTCACAGCGGCCGCTGACGTTCGCTGTGAAGGCCACAGAGACCTTCCCTTTGGAGCTGAGCAGAGGAGCTGAGCGGATTGGAGGCATCACTTCCAGCTACAGGCAGCAGGTGATGGAGTCGGCCCGTGTGCTCGGCCTGGCTCCCGCGACCCTGCTTTCGGTGCCTGGTGAGAACGGCCCACAGCTCTCCTGTTGACGAGAGCGTCTCCTTCTGGGCAGTGGCGAGCCCATTCATATTTGCTGAACCCGCCGTCAGCACTCTGTGAGACTCCCTGGGGTTACAGAAGGCCCGGATGTGAGACGCAAAACCGGAGGAGAAAAGAGTAACACCGGCCGGGACCAGTGGCTCAGCCTGTCAGCCCAGCCCTCCAGGAGGCCGAGGTGAGTGGGCTGCCTGAGCCTGAAGGTTCGAGACCAGCCCAGGCAACTTAGCGAGACCTTGTCTGTACAATAAACGAAAAATTAGCCAGGCGTGGTAGCCTGCACCTGTGGTTCTGGCTACTCGGAAGGCTGAGGCAGAAGGATTGCTGGACCCCAGCAGGTCACCGCTGGTGTGGCCGTGAGTGTGCCACTGCACTCCAACTTGGGCGACAGAAAAAAAAGCAAAGAAAGAAAAGAGTGACACGTGGAGTGAATAAGAACAACCAAGGCCAAGTCTAGTTGAGTGCCGAATGGTGTGGCGGCTAACAGCACACCCTCGGGAGTGCTCATGGCGCAGGAGGGGATGGGGAGGGCCCATGGAGATGCTTACTGAAGACCTTTGGTGTCTGAAAGGCAGAGGGAAGAAAGCTCCGATATACAATATCGAGGTAGTAAACGGGATGTGGGGATTAGCCTGGCTTTAATGAGGATGCAGATATAAATAAGCCACAGTGAGCAGAGTTTATGGTCCGAATGCAAGTGATTTCCTGGAAATTGCATTTAAACCTAAACCCTGAGCAGCTGTGTTAATTGCTAGATTAGCTCAATCTCTATTTTACCTGTATGGACTTGTTTGGTTGAAAATAATTCACCAAGTAGCATAGAAAACCCCAATGGGGGTTCTGTTTTGGGATGGACATCACCCTTTGAAATCAGAGATGAGTTTTTGGTTTTTTTTTTTTCTCTCTAGATGGTGAGGTATTTATGGGAAAGGCCTCTGCTTTCATGGTGTATTTTTATTTTTTGCCTCTGGGCAGTGGTACTGATGTTATCAGAATGGTGTCTTTTTTTTCTTCCGATTGGAAATTTTAATAGGTTTTCTACATTCTTGTGTGCTTTTTTATTTGGTTTAGAGGAGTGGTTTAAAAAGAATCCCTCATGGGAGCCAATTTTCAATTTAATCTTGTAAGTAAATGGAAAAAAATATCATGTACTTTACAGTTGTTTCAGGAGCACATTTCTCCCACAAATAGATTATTCAGAAGAAGAGTCTAATTTTCTCAGCAACTTTGGGTTGTTAATTTGGCACGAAGATTGAAGTTCCTCGTGGGAAGGGAGGCTTTCTTCAAGGTCTGAGGACCCCTCCTCTGTCTCACGTCTAGGACCCTGCGGGATTCAGTGTCTTTTCCAGCCCTCCGAATTCAGAGACTCGCCATCACTTTATTGGGACTAAACAACATTCCCTGTGTGTTCTTCCACCTTATTGTGTATTTTCTCAGAAGGAAGGCAGTGAGACTCAACTTTGTATAGTAATCGCTCCTTCTGTGACTCACCCATTCGTTCTACGTTTATTGAGCATCTGTCGTTGCCTCTGCCAGGCACCAGGGATGCTGAGATGATTAAGATCATGAACTTTGTCTTGGCACGTGTGGTCTTCAGGGGGAGTTAAGACATGAAGAGGAATTATGGGGCAGTGCACTAGGCCTCTTGAAGCGCCGTGGGAGCTTGGGAGAAGACCTCAACTGCCCTGAGGAGGCTGCAGATGATGGCTTCACACAGGAGGCTGCACTGGAGTCCAGAAGGCCAGGACAGAGAGGGCATTTCAGACAGAGGTACGGGACATGTTCAGGAAGCTCAGCATGGCCCAGGATTTGGGAGTTTCCGAGTGAGCGGTAGGGAAAGCTGAGGGACCTTTGTTTCTTTCCATTTTTAAAGTTTTGAGGCTGCAGTCATCACAGCTTACAGATAGCACAGTCCTTAGAAGCTGTGTAGTATAGGCTCTGAGTTAACTGCTCCTTTTT